TGGAGACAAGAGTCTCACTTTGTTGCCAGGCTAGAGAGAGTGCTGTGGCGTCAGCCTTGCTCACAGCAACCTCAAACTCCTGGGCTAAGCAATCCTCCTGCCTCAGCCTCCCAAGTAGCTGAGACTACAGGCATGTGCCACCATGCCCAGCTAATCTTTTCTTTATATATTTTTAGTTAGCCAATTAATTTCTAATTTTAGTAGAGATGGGGTCTTGCTTTTGCTCAGGCTGGTTTCAAACTCCTGATCTTGAGTGATCCGCCCGCTTCAGCCTCCCAGAGTGCTAGGATTACAGGCATGAGCCACTGCACCCAGCCAAAGGAGGAAACTTTTAGGCCATAGATAGATGCTAAATCTATCAGACCTGCATCAGACTACTTCCAAGACAAGAAATACCAGCACCTCCTGTTCTTTATAGGAATGAAACTTAGATTCTTAAAATCTGCCACCTGATCTACTCATAATTATGAAGTTTTCTTTGATAGAAATTTCCAGAGTTGAAAATCAAAATCCAGCAAGAATTAAGAAATGTTACCTTCCAAAAGCAAAATTCAAACTTAACTCAAATTTTAATGACTTGGCTTCAAGTAATAATGTTTATTGTCCGTTGGTTTTAAAGCTATAATGCTGGTTGGGTAAAGTTTCACTTAAACTGGCTTGATTATCAGAGTGATACAATTTATAAATAAACCACCAAATCTACAATTTCCAAAATTTTGATAAATGATTCTATAAATGAAAGTGCCAGCTTTCATCACTGCCAATGCAACATTCTTCCCAAGGAAGTTAACTGTACATCCTGTCACTTTTCAGCCATAGGTAGTTAACACTTAGTACTATGAAAATCTCTAGCTAGTTAGATTTTAAATGAAATATGCCAGCAGAAGTATGGAAAGAGTTCACAAAAATGACTGCTTACCACAGTGCTATAGTATCTATGGTGTACTGAGAGCAGTGTGTGGGCTGAACATGAATATAGTGGTTAAAGTCATAGCCCTAAATCAAGAGAATGTTACTAAACTTGTAAGATATAAAGTAAATTCACAGTCTTATTTAGAAGGTGCTTTTCAGCTTTAGTGCTGTCTTTTAAAAGAATCTGAACCTACAGAGAGATGCATACTTACCTGGTTAAAAAACTAAGTGGCCATGGCAAGTTTTACCCAAAGGTACCACCTCTTACCTAATTTGTTGAGTAACTAGGTTGAGGGACCCAATTATCAAGTGTGCTTTGAGTGATGAGCTTTTTAAACACACTTTGGGGAAGCCTCATTAGCTCAGTGGAAACCTTAAGGTTGATCTCTCTCTATTTAAAAAAAAAAAAAAAAGTTTCTTCCTTGGTCACCATTTGGGGTTTGATGGCTTCAAACCTAAGCCTTGCTTTCATGTATGTAACTCTTCTTCATCTTAATACTCAGGAAAATATAAACCTCTCAGAGCATCTGTGATCCCATGTAGACAGCTGCTGCTAAAGGGTCTTGGCTCCTCCTATCAGATAAGATCAGACTAATACTCCTAAGACAATGGTAGGGGTTTTTTTTTACATATAAAAAAAAATCTAGATCTGAGCCCGCCCCAGAACACAGCCTCTGGTGGCGCAGGGCAGGCATGTTAACAGTCGGTGGGGGGGGGGGGGGGGGGAGGGGGGGGAGGCGAGGAGAGGAGGGGGGCGGGAAGGTCTCCCCCCGAATGAGCCCTCGCCCTGCCCCGCCCTGCCCCACCCTGCCCCCGGAGCTGGAGCTGGAGCCAGAAGGTGACAGGCCTTGTTCACCCCTGCAGTTTTTCTTCCCTAGCTCCCTCTCTGTTTTTCTTCAGGCATGGCTTGTCTTATGATTCGTTGCATGTCAACCCTGGAGCTCCCAGGCCTAAAGGCACTATACAGCCTCTATGGCTAAGGGATATATTAACATACACGTATGTGTGTGTCTATACACATAAATATGTCTATTAAAGTAATATGAAGAGCTTATAAGAATGCAGATTCTGGGGACCCCCCCCACTCCACCCCCGAGAGTTACTGAATTAGAATCTGGGAGGTCTAGGAATCTATATTTTAAAAGCTAATAAATTTTTTGATGTTCAAAAAAAAAAAATCTAATTCTCAAACAGCTTTCTTAATGAGATTTATGCCAGCAGGGTCAAGAAAGACTATTTGTCCTGTTTACCTTTAGTAAACAAATTGCTAGAGACAACATCTGTCAGCTATAACATTTAGGCCATTTATACCAACCCTTTTCTATTCATGTCCTTTAATCCTGTACCAGTTTCATAGGAGACCTGGCACATGAAAGCAATATTCAAAAAAAAAAAAAAAAAGTTGGCCTGGCAAGGTGGCTCAGACCTGTAATCTTAGCATTGTGGGATGCCAAGGTGGGAGGATTGCTTGAATCTGGGAGTACAAGGCCAGACTGAGCAACATAGTGAGACCCCCATCTCTACAAAAAAATAGAAAAATTAGCTGGGTGTGGTGGTATGCTCCTGTATTCCCGGCAGGAGGATCACTTGGTCCCAGGTTGCAGTGACCTATGACACCACTGCACTTTACCCTGGGCAATACAGACCCTATCTCAAAAAAAAAAAAAAAAAAAAAAAAAGCCTATTGGAGTAAATCAACTAGAAGAAATTGGCCATGAGTTAACCTGTCTCTATCTCCACCTCCTTCTATGGCTACATGAGTCTTTCCATTGCCAGTTCCTTACATACTCCACTTCCCAAAAACCCTAAACCCCTGAACAGTAGCACTACCATGAATTTTAGGGTCAGAAAACATCTATTTCCTTTAAAGGAAGTAGTTTCCTCAGCAGTATCACTTTAGTGTCTACTGTCCAGACTTACTTATATGTTGTCTCCTCCTACACATCACTGTCCTCTTTTTGCCACCAAACATCAGTCTCTTCCAGCAACAATGCCTCCCTGGTGCCTGGAAAACCTACCTGGTGCACTAAAATGCTATGCAACACCAAATGGCTTCTTCCCTCAGTACTACTTAATAATGGAAATCCCTAAGAATAAACTTCATGCTGTGTTAACATCAACGTATGATGGTTACAGTTTCCATTTTTTTTCCCTAAACAAAGCAAACCACCTCCATTACAATCCATGTTTGGAGCTTGTTCCTATTTCTCTTGAGTGTGAAATATAAATCATGTTTTTATGATTTTTGTAATCTTGACTTTTTACACCTTGTTTTTGTAAGCAGAAGTTTCTTATTAAAAGAATAAAATGGCTGTCATTGTGTATAGTGTTTATTTCAAATATTTGTTAAAACACCATTGTTATTCCTCAGGACAGGAGCAAAGATCACCCTCTGCAGAAACTTAGAAACTATGTACAGAACTTTACAGAACAGAGACAATGCTTTAGCTGAAGCCTGACTGCTGACCAGAGAATGGAGTTCTGAGTGGACTTGGGAACAAAAGGAAACCAAGTAGGGAACAGGAAAGTGCCCATGAGAATCACATTTCAGCTGCCATCAGGACATATCTTGTGGTGGTCACAAATTGTAGGCTCTGTTTTTGGAAGGTTCGGGTGCAGCACAGGATTCCATTTGTCTGCAATCAGATGACAGGACAATGGGTGGCATCATGAATGCAAAAGCACTGGTGGGAAACTGATAAGAGATATTTAAATCCCTTGCAACATCTGGAAACACATTTAACTAGGAATAGCCACGGGTTTTATTTACATGCATTCTCTTTCCTACACTTAGTGAATAACTGATACAACTTATTGCTTCTCCCAGCCTCCATACATGGCTATAGTTAAAGTGCTTACCTACTTGGCTACACCCCTGGCTGAGGTGCCATAAGGTCAATGTCACTCAAGTTCCTGGCCAGCCAAACTCCCGCAGCAAAGAGTCCCAAATTAAGGATCAAGTTCCTGGAAAAACAATGTATTTCATTCACTCTATGGTTAAAGAAAAGTACTGGGAGGAAAAGGCTTCCTGAAGCATTGATAACATGGTTACATGGCAAGTTGCCCAAGACCCGCACGGGAATTTGGAGTTTGTTTCTGTGCCTAATAAGAGCAGGATCAAATTTAAAGGTCAGTTAAACAGCTGTTCAGGGCCGAAAAGCTAGTTTATGTGTAGGTGCCTCTTCAGTTCCCCTGGTCAGAGTGATTTTGTCTATAGATACAGCCTCGCAAAAGAAATACAACTCCTGCCCAAAGGCCTCAGTAAAGCAGTCAGAGCCACGAAGAGCCCACTGTATTGGCAATATTAAAACATAAAACCAAAATGCCCCGGGGGCACCAGCCTCTAAAGGAAGGGGAAATACAGGCGTATAAGGTCGTGAGGGCCAGGGCAGGACCAAGGTCCCCGGGATCGGTTACCTCCGGAAATCATTCCTATCGGTAGCAAAGCGATAGACGCCCCGAAGCCAATCTCCCACGTTGTCCGGAATTTCAGGAGCCTCATTTGCCGCGCCCGCAGAGCTCACTACTACCCCGCCGGAAGCCATGCTAGTCCGTTTGGGCTCCACACACGCCTCGCACGACGCTCCGTATGGGCGCCCGCGGATCACGCAACTTCCGGTTCGGCACTTCCGCCGGCTACCGGCCGGCAGAGGGCGCCGTTCCCCTAGCTTGGTACGGCGCCCAGGACTAGAGGTACAGCCCCTGGCTGCGCGTCCGCGAACCCTGCGCGGGGAAGAGCGCGGCCCAGCTCTACCGTCCCTAGTGCCCGGTCCCACCTCCGGCTCTCCAGCCAGCCAGTCACGCGTGCTCAGCGAACACTTAACTGGCTCAGGAGGCGGATGGCAGGGACGAGGCTCCCAGCCTGGGGGGGTAGGGGTAGATCAGCAGGGCAAGCGTAGCTTTGGAGAATGAGGTTCCCCCAAAGTCCCCATCAACTCCTAGATCGCGCTGTCCTGAAGGGGGCGCACTCCAAATCTGCCGCCTCGCCCCCTCCCCCAGGCGTGCCCCGATCGCGTTCAGTCGGGGAGAGCCTGGTTCTGCTTCACAGAGCCCTTCCTCCCCACTCACACCCGTCTCTGGGGTGCGCCACTAGCAAATGGTGCAGTGCTTCTTGGAGGTGTCGCTGTCCCCCGGTCGGAGGGTTCCGGGGGTCTTCCAGAGCCGGGGAATGCGCTGGCCTAAGAAAAAGTCTTCGGGTTCCGAGTCGGAGGAAGAGGAGCAGGTGGGGCAGTGGGCGTCCTCCCCGGGATCATGGGGCGTCTCCAAGCGATGTTGCTCCCGCCCTTTGGATGCCGCTGCCTTGTCCCCAGCGCGGCTCTCCTGCTCGGGGCTGGCTCCAAGCAGCCCCGTCTGGGTTCCCAGGCTGGCACCGCCGGCGGCAGCGAGGGCTGTTCGGGAGATGGTCGCGGCGTTCAGCGAGGCGCGGTCCCTTCCTTCAGTGCGGCCGGGTCCGGTCTCCTCTGTTCCGGGCCGGGTCAGAAACGCCCATCTCAGAGCCCAAGTTTCCCTCCCAGAGCCTGGCGGGGCGACTCGCCGAACGAGCGCGGGTTGAGCCCAGCCTCCCGCCCCACCCCCGGGCCGTGCACGCCGCCGCCGCGAGTCCGCTCCTGGGTCCCGCGCCTCTCCCCGCCTCCGCCCACCAGAGGGCGGCCGCGTCCCCCTCCTGGGAGCGAGCCCGGCGCTGCAGCCCCGACCGCGGCGCGGGGTGGGTTCGGGAGGCCCTTGGAGCGCTCCGGCCAGGGACGCGCGGTGAGAGCTGCGGGCCCCGAAGCTCGGGTCTGGGGGGGTGCGGTGGGGGAACAGGGGCTGCTGGAGGGACGGGACGGTGTGGGACTGGGACGAGGGTCTCAACCCGGGAGAACCCCCAGCCAAAGCCACCGCCCCCTCCGCTTTGATCTGCACCTTCGCCCTTACCAAGGGACGCCCGCCCTTCCAGTGCCCAGGCAGGGCTCGAGCCCGCACCCGAGTAGCGGCTCTCAAAACAGCTGGGGCAGCAGGGGCTGCCCCCCGGCAGGGCGTAACGTCCCCCGCCCAGGGGCCCGGCGCAGTCCTGGCAGCAGAAGTGGTTCTCATGCCAGCGACGTCCCTCCGCTTCTGTACAGCGCCGGGAGAAGATCAGCTGGGAGAGGGAGAGGGGAACGGTTCATTCATTCATTCACTCATTCATTCATCCAATAACCACGCCTTATCTCCAGTTAACGCTAAAGCACGTCTACAGACATTCCCATTTGATCTACTCAGCCACTCGTGGACGCAGGGGAGGGCTGGTTGGCTTAGCCAGGATCCCCCAGATAGCAGGTGGCACAGCCCAAAGTGCGACCCGGCCGCCTGGACCCCCAACCCAGGGTTCTACCTGACATTAAGGGAATTTCTGGCATGATCAGGCACAGCACTGGGCACTTTAGCATACTGAGATGAACATCTGTCCAAGAGTCCCTGCTCCAGAGAAATACTCTGAGTCCAAGAAAATTTGAGGGACTTTGCTTGCAGTCCCCAACTCCGCGATACTGAGGGATACTTCAGCCCTGGAGGGTGTTCCATTACATCCTGCTACTCTGGACCCTGGGCAGACACCCCCCACCCCGTGCCCCTTCCCTTGGAGCTGTACCTGGTCACAGGCCGGGCAGCGCGGCCGCAGCAACTCGGCGTGATGACGGCCGCAGTAGAGATGTCCATCGTGGTAGAAGTATATGAGGTTTATCAGGGCCTTGCCACAGGCCTGGCAGGCAAAGCAAGGCTGGTGCCAGCAGCGCTGCGCCCCTGCCCGGGCTGCAAACACTCCATACTCCCCTGGGTTCAGCTGCTCCCTGCACTGCCGGGCGGGGGCACTGGGCTGGTTAGGCTGGCACCACCCTCTTAGCTTCCCTCCTGGCTCTTCCACCCAACCCCAACCTGTTCTCCCCATACCCTGGCAAGCCCGCACCCACTACAGCCTCCATCAAGAGCTCCCAAACTTGGTTTCTTTTTCCTAACGTTTGCCAAATTACCAATCCCTAAACTCTGATTTCCAACCAGAGTCCTAGGAGCTAGCCTTTTCTGCAGAAGTGAGAGGGCAAGGAATGGAGGAAGGGGAATGTTTGAGGGGGAGGCACTACATACTTTCTCACAGGTGTGTCCTTCAAGCTTGGGAAGTACCAGACAGGCCACCCCCTGTCCCAAGGCCTCCTGCTTCCGCTGCGCACAGAAGAGCCGCAGCTCAGCCAGCTCCTCCTCCCCAAGGGCCAGGCAGTAGCGCTCCTGCAGAAACAGGCCTCCACTGTGACTGGGAGAGCCCCAGCAGCCCAGACGGGCTTGTTTGAGAAAGGCTTAGCTGTGGGGCCAAAAAAAGGTTGCAGAACCTCAGGGAGGCATGCAAGAGATAGCAGCATGGAAGGGCATTGAGAAGGGAGGGGGAAAGGAGCGAGAGGAAGTCCACCTCTGTCTCACCCCACCCCAGGAATGGTCATCATTTAGGTCCTTTTTCCCAATGAGCTAGAGTTCAGTATTATTTTACATACTCCTGTCTTGCCTCCCCAATTGAATTGTAAACCTTTAAGCTGGGCACATGTAGGGCTTCAATAAATACTTAACAACCATACTCTCTACATTTGTACATTCCATGATCTGTTTCAGAAGTCGTTCATGTCCATTTTCTCATTTGCTCTTGAGCTAAGCACTGTGGTGGGCACAGCAGAGCAGATGCTTTTGGTGGATGGGAAAACCTCATGTAGATGTGAAAACTCAGGCTGGTGGGGAATGACTTCCCCCAACAGTGGAATAGCTGACCCTTAAATACATGCCCTCTGACTTCTGGACGAAGGTTCTTTCCACAGTAAGTAAGGAGAGGGAGAAAGAGGCACAAGGGAAGATGGGGAGGGGGGACCCACATCACTGTCCTGTGGAGGGAGCTGTTGCAGGAGGGTCCGAAGTCCAGGCCACTTGGGGGCTTGGTTGGTGTCCAGGAAAGGGGGACCCTAAGGAGACAGGGTAGAAGAGGATGAGTGCAGCTAGGTTTTTTCCTTCTTTTCCCTTTCTCTCCCCCCTCCTCATTGCCACCTCTCCTCCAATCTAGAACAGCTTCTAAGCATGCCCCTCCATTTGCAGAGCCCTCCTTCCAGATCCTGAGTGCAAGGACAGTTGATCCACTCCTGCCTCTGGGGTCTTCCTTGAGGGAGGCTGGGGAGACCCCACACCCCAAAACAGCTTCCCTTCTTATGCTTGAAACCACGCCATTCATTCCTTGGGGCCAAAGCCCCTAGGGTCTGCTTTGAAAACAGAGCACCTAGGAGAGGTAATGTGTATTCCTGTGAATGAGCTTAAAGTCAAAACCATATGTCCCGAGGAGGTACAGAGACAGGAATTCCTGAAAAAAGAAAAGGGCCACAAGAGGTTAGGCACAAAGGCAGAATACCTCCTGGTTGGTGAAAAAGAGAGGAGGTCCGAAGGATAGAAGGCATGTTGGTCTCAGAGGAAGAGCAGGACTCTTACTACCTGAGCGGAGGTATCCTCAGGGTCTTCCCCTGGCAGGTGGCCTGAGTCACTGTCTGAGTTGCCTGCTGGACCTGGCTCCCCAAGGATGGGGCTGTCCTCTGGGTGGGGCCAGCCAGAGTTCAGCACTGACATTGGTGGCAAAGTCTACCCTAAAACAATAAGAACATCTCCATTTATTGGGCTCTTCCAATGTGCTAGGCAGTGCTAAGTGCTTTACAGGCATCATCTCAATCCCCCCAACACCCAAGTGACTTACGCGGTATTATCCCCATTTTACAGATGGTCAAACTGAGCATCAGTGAGCATGAATGGTATGCCCAAGGTCACACAACTAGTAAGTGGCAGAGCCAGGACTTGAGGCCAGGCCTTTCAACTCCAGAGTTTCTGAAGTTCAAATTCTGGGGTTTCCCAAGATTGGACTAGAGGTAAAGATGGCCCACAGTGGAAGGAGAAGGCACTTTGCCTCTCTGGTGACCCTTTGGGCAGGTTGGCCCTTCCCTTCTCACTTCACCAGCCTTAACTCCCCCACACCCACCCCTGGCCTCACTGAGCACTCACTGTCCCAGTGAGCCTGCTTCCTCACAACTCCTGCACAGGCCCAGATTTTCCTGCTCTATAGGCTTGGGCCAGGCTAAAGGACCTCCTTGCCAGGAAGCCCTTCTCAGCATCTCTGGCCCATACCAGCTCCCCTTTCTATGAGCTCCAGAAGTCAATACAGTTGGTGCTCCAAGATTTAGCACCTAACGTTTCTCTCTTTGCACCCTGCGTCTCTCTCAGCTTCTTTACTGGTCTGTAAGTTCCTTAAGGACAGAGGAAAATCCTGGGCTTCTATTTATAGCAGCAATTTCATTGGATAATCTAAGCGCATCTCTTCAGCCTTCCTCTCGGCAAGTCCTGATATGACCACAGTATTTTGGGGGCAAGGAGTGACTCTTAATGTAGAGAAGGGATGGGCCCTGCCCTCAAGGAGCTCTTAGTCTAGTGGGTAAGATAGAGATGAAACCAGAGCTATGGACAGATATATATACACCCTGTATGTGTGTGGGGGGGGCGGGAAATAACCAGCACACACTTTTCCATAATATTTATTCTGTGCCAGGGACTACTGTAGATTTTTTAAAATAATATAGTACATTCTTAAAGTAATCCTATGAGATAGTTTCTATTATCCTACTTGACGGTTGAAACAAACTGAGGTTAATTAACTTACGCATTAGAAGGCTAGGGAAGCTTAGGAGGAGAAAGCCTCTGAAAGCTGAGATAGATTCTTTTTTGTTTTGTTTTGCTTTTTGGTAAAGATGGGGTCTTGCTATGTTGCCCAGGCTGGTCTTAAACTCCTAGACTCAAGAAATCCTCCTGCCCCAGTCCCCAGAGTGGTGGGATTACAGACGTGAGCCACCACCACACCTGGCCAGGGATGGAATTGACAGTAGCTGGGCACAGGAGGGCCATCATCAAATCCCTGACCTCTTTTAAGACCTAGCTTTGGGGTTCAGGCCAGGGTTTGGACCGTAACAGTTATATTGCTTCCTAGCCCTAAACCCCACCCCCTTCAAATGTCCTGTGCCACCCTTTCCTCCTTCCTGGCTCCACACCCACCTGCTTCCTTCCTCTTCTGTCCCTCAGGTCGGGTTTCCTGTGGAAGGTGGCCAGGATGGACTGTTCACACTCAGGGCCAGAAGTAGCCATTTCCCTAACAGCACTGCCCCAGCTCCAGGCAGCAAGGAAGGAGGGGGCATCTGGGTCCCAGAAGGAGACTTGCACCCCCTTACAGGTTAGCTTTAGTTTGCACGAAAATAGAAACAAGAACACAGAAACAATGCTCCACAATCAGCCCTCTTCCCTCCACCCTCCTATCCCCCCACCCAGGTGGCCAAACTCCATCTCCACCTAGCGCGGGAACCCACCTTACTAACGTGCCAGATTCCTTCCATAATTCCCCTCTCCTTCCCCCATTAGATAAGGGACAGGGCTGCCCACGCCTATCCCCTCCCGCCTCCACGCAGGTGCAACCGGGCTCTGGAGCTCAACCTCCCCAACCCACCTCTGCCCTGAAGGGAAGAGCCCAAGAGGCCCTAGGACCTAGGGAATTGGAGGAACGGGAAGTTTTCCCAGGACAGTAGGAGGGAGAAGCAGAGAGAGTGCCCGGTCCTGCCAAGTGCCTTCTGGACAGATCCCCCAAGTTTTTCTAGGACCTGGCAGGGCCCACCTCCGGGGCAGGGACACGGTGTGGTTCCCGAAGCTGCTGGGGTTCCCTGTCTGGCTTCTGGGAGTTTAAGGAAAGGGAGGGGAGTCCTCTGGGGTCTCACCCTCGCTGCGCGCTGGAGTCCAGGCTGTTCCGGACCGACTCCGCGGTCGGGCCACTCACTCAGTCCCCACCCGAGGCCTCAGCGCCAGCCTCTACCCGCCCTGAAAGGGCGGCCCTTCCTCTCCCACGCCCCCAGCAGCCCCGCCCGCCCAGCCCGGCCGAAGGGAAGCATTGGCGGGATCTCGGGGTGGAAAGTGACTGCGCCCCCGCAGGCACCCAGCAGACACAAGGAGCCGCGTTCACGCCGGGCGCTCAACCACTGGCGGACTGGAAACGCACTGCCGCGCCCCGAGACCCTTCGCCCTGCGTTCCCGGACCCCCTAGACCCGCCCTCTGGTCTCCTGGCCCCGCCCCTCCCCGTGTTGGCCCCACGTCCCTCCCCTTTGTCCCCAGTGGGTCCCCCGCCCGCCTCTTCCCCTCGCCTCAGCCCTTTGCCGGGGTCCCTCGTCTTGCCCTTCTCCCTTCTGCCCCTTCAGGCCTCTTCCCCTGTCATTTGTGTTTCTCCCCACACCTTCTGTCCCCTTTCGGCTCCCGGGAGTACCCGCCACCGCCGGTCCCCTCAGCCCCACCTCCGCGTCCCGCCCCCGCTCCGGGCCCCGCCCCGTTCCCGCCAGGCTCGCTCAGCCGCTGGCCCGGAGCGCCCTCTGGCGTCTGCGCATGCTCCCTGCTCGCGACTGCAAAGTCCTCCAAAGGGACCTTCTAGGCTTGCGCGCCGGTCGCCCCGCTCGGGTCCGCCCGCCCGCAGCGTCTCGTTGGTGTTGCCGGTGACCTCCGACCCCGCGGCCGTGGGGCGGGGCGGGGAGGTCTTAGCTCCGGGCGGGCGGCGGCTGCTGCAGCGGGACCCGGGAGCGGGGCCCGGCGCCGCCCGGGCCGCGGGGCGATGTGAGTCGGGGCGGGGCGGGGACGATGCGGCTCCACTGAGGCCGCGTCGCGTCGCGCTGCAGTCTCCGCTCCCTCCCTAGGAAGCCCCGGGCGGGCGGGCGGTGGAGCTCCGGGGCTGGGGGCGGGAATCCAGGGACAACACGCACCCCGACCTCCTGATTCCTTACGGGTGTCTAGAAATTCCCCTTGACAGTCCTGCAGTATAAATCTACCTCTCACTCGCAAACCCCACCCTTTCCCACCTCCACCCTGGCCACACCTTCGCATCTCTTGGAGCTCTCAGAAACCCCTCACTCATTCTCCAAATCCCCTGATTCGCCCACAGACCCTCCCTTCTCTCCTGGACGCCCCCAAATGCCTCCACTGTCCTGAAATTCCTCCGCTCCTTCATATTCCGGATTCTCTCCTTGCACTAACCAAAATGCCCAAATCCAAAATTCTTGCCCATATTCCCCCCAAGCCTTCTCATGCATTTTCAGTCCCCACAACCCCTTCTAACTCCTGCCCCCAATCCACACCTATCCTAGACCAGAGCCCCTTCCCCTGTCCTGCCAGATGTAATCCCTGTCAATGGGCTGTTATGTCCTGATATCTTGAAGAGATGGTGATAGGAAAAGTGAACCCCTCCCCCATCTTGCACCCCATAGTTCTTGGTTTTACATCCCCCCCCACTTCCCCCACCCCTCCACCCCCGTTGCTGGCTCAAGCCCCAGTATTTTCACAACCTGTCTTTAGTCTGTGCACACCTCTTTCAGCCTGCTTGATGGGGTTCCTTTTACCTGAAAGTTGTCCAAAGATGCAGGGTACAAGGGACCCTGGGAAGTATTGTTTTTCCAGAGCAGGAGGGTGGGCTTTTAAGAATCTCTGGAGACCTGGCTTGTCAACTTATCTGCCCTGGGTTCAGATGCCCAGAAATTTTGGCTTATTGTTAACATTTATGTTTAAAATTAGGTCTTTAAGAGCTTGGGGAACAAAAAACCTATCAAGTTTCCAAATGTGAAATTAAAGGAGCCTGTCCTGGAAGAGGAATATATCCATTTTCGTGATCTTTGTTTTACATGCTTACCTCTAGAAGTTATTTAATCTGGAAACTCCACAGTTTACAGATGGTTCCCCTAAAAACTAAGGCCTTGGGGTAGGAGTTGGGAGGAGTAGTAGGGGATTGACTTGACAGTCTCCCAGATATTTAATAGAAACAAAACTGACTAGAATATTGGTTTCCTGAATCTTCAACCAGTGCTCTTTCTACTATATCATACTCCCCTTTTGAGAAAGCTCTTTGTAGAGTTAAAGTTCTCTGCAAAGGTAAGGTGGTGTTTTTGGTTTTGGTTATGATAAGACTCAGAAGGGGTTCTAAAGGTGACAGAAAAGGTCTTGGGTTATCTTAGACTTCAAACTCATTGACACTAGGGGAGTCTGTCCCTCTCAGGGCCTATGGGGCTTAGCATTTGTGGTCCCTTTGTTCTTGATCTTGCTTTCTTCATTGGTGTTTTTGTCCCTTTAGGTCCTGGAACAGACATCCAGGTAGGATGGACTGACAGCAGGTCAGTTTCATTAACAGCTAGGGGTGAGAATAGGTTTCCATTAATTCGTGGTCTCTGTCTCCTGTACTAGGTGAGCCCCAGGTGTGTCCCAGAGGGATCCAGGTGACTTCTCTGCAGACTGTTTGCCATGGCACCCCACCAAGGACAGGGGGAATAAAGTGGGAATCCTTCCTCATGCCCCTCCCTTGGTCAGCTCCCCAATGGCCTGGGTGAGGTAAGAGCTGTGTATAGGAGTCCGTTTTCTGGAGTTTCCCAAGTTGGGAGGAACAGAGGGTGCGGCTCAATGAATTGTCAAGGCTCTATGCATTCAGCAGGAGTTGTAGAAGGATAGCTAATCCCTAACAAACTCATTTCTTGCAGTAAGTTGCAAACCCTTAAAACTCACAGTTGGGATTGGCCCATGTGTTCTTGTTCCCTTAGGTCATTCAAGCCTGGGTTGTGTCCTCTTCATCCTAGGCACGGGCCTGACTATTGTAACATATGATCCAAGTACCAGAATCCTGGAAGGAAAAGCCAAATAGTAAGGCCCCTGGTCTCCCCTTCAGATAAAGGGGAGCAATCCCAGCACTTTTATTTTTAATAAAGAAATACCCAATTGAGATTATAAAACTTGTGCTCTACTTCAAATGTTCAATCTTCTGAATGTATCTTTACGATTATAATGTAACAACTCATTTGAAGAAAATGTCAGAGAAATTTGAGGTAGATATTGGGATGGAGATGAGGGAGAAAAAGAGAGAATTGGATGAAGTGGAATGGGTGGGGGAGAAAAGGGAAAGGTACAGGCCAAAGTGTCTGGGACTCCCAGGTGACCATTTCTTTGCTGAATCCAAATGAGGCCTTGGGCTGGCACCTGACTCCATCTGATGCAGATCACTTCTGTGCCTCTGTTTATATCCATGCTGTTCTTCCTGCCTCAGTCTCCCTTCTCCATCATTACTTGGATCAGAATCCTATATACTTTTCAAGCTCCATATCACATGTTACCTCCAAGGAGCTCTCTCCACCCTCCCCCCATCAGCATTAATCCTTAACATGTTGTAACTTGAATTAATGTTTATCCAAGGTGTGTCTGGCCCCGGATTGAGAGTGTGAATTCCTTGAGGGAAGGTCTGTGTCATTCAGTCTCTTGGACAGAGTAGGTGAACTGACATAGTGACCTGCTTATCCCTTATGTTTTTCCGTAGGGTGAGCTGGCTGCTCTGACACCATGGGGAGCTGCTGCAGCTGCCTGAACAGAGACAGTGTCCCAGACAACCACCCCACCAAGTTCAAGGTACCCAGAGCCCCCTTCTCTCCTGCATTCCCAGCATGGCCTCTTGGGCCCCATGTAGTGGAGTTGCCCCAGCCTCCCTATAGAAAACGAATTGACAGGTTGAGGTTGTGAGCTGTTTTAAAATTTCTCTAGCTCAAGACCTCTGAGGTGGCCTGAGGAAAAGAGGCCCAGGCCACTGCCATTTTTGCAGCTTTTAATACTAACAAATTAAGAAATGCCATAATGGTGCTTTTAGAGCATTTACTTCTGTCAGTGTATTTTAGTAACTTTATGTATATGTGTTTTGGAGAAAACAAGAAGTCTGTATTTGTGAGTTAACATATTTTAAATGCTTAGCACATGGTCAGCACTCTTCTGGTGTTTGTTGTTTGCTTTGGGAAGCCATGGGCAGGCCCAGTGGACCTGCCTGGGCCCCTCACAACACATGCCTGTAGGGGGAGCCACCTCCTCCCTCTCACACTGGGGTGGGGGAGGTGCATGTTTCTCCCGCCCACCAAAAGAGGGGGCCCTGGGAAAGGTCATGCAGTTGGGGAGGTAGGAGCGGCAGTACACATTGGTTCTGCCTTGGGCTTGACTCCCCAGGGTCTTAAGATTTTGAATGTACAATTGAACCACTTCCTTTTTTTTTTTTATTTTAGCGTATTATGGGGTACAAGTGTTAAGGTTATATATATTGCCCATATCCCCCTCCCCCCTTGAGTAAGAGCTTCAAGTGTGTTCATCCCCCAAACGTTGTACATCTTACCCGTTTAGTTGTATATACCCATCCCCTCCTCCCCACTCCCACCCTCCCGACACCCGATAAGGGTTACTCCTATATGTCCGCTTAGGTGTTGATCCGTTAATACCAATTTGCTGGTGAGTACATGTGGTGCTGATTGAACCCCTTCCTTATTAATATCTGGGCCTTGGATACTAAGCCATGGGCAGTCTGAGGTCATCTAAACATCTGACCTTGGAGGTCAACTACCTCTTCTCTCGCTGTCCAAATGACAAAGCTGAGGGCCAGAGAGGAGGATTTGGCCAGAGGACTGCCATGGTTCCATGGCACTAACTCTTTGCTTTCCCCAGTAATCATGTGGCACTCAGGAGAGTCTGGTAGCGTCAGGCGAGACCCTTGGTACCCCAGCTCCAGCCCTACATCGGACCGCCTCCCAGTGGCTCAGGAACCCATGCAAACATTTGTTGGACTTATTCATTGACACTTCTCTGCTGTCCCCTGCAGGTGACAAATGTGGATGATGAGGGGGTGGAGCTGGGCTCCGGGGTGATGGAGCTGACGCAGAATGAGCTGGTGCTGCACCTGCATCGGCGAGAGTCTGTCCGCTGGCCCTACCTCTGCCTGCGGCGCTATGGCTACGACTCCAACCTCTTCTCCTTTGAGAGTGGCCGCCGATGTCAGACAGGCCAGGGTGAGTACCAGGCCCTGCCCTACCCTGGGATGGGGGCTTATGCACCTGGGGCAGGCACTGTGGAAGATATGCTTCAGGGGACTATGGGGAAGCTGTGGAATTCAAGAATGGGCCTTTACATGCAACCCAGCCCTCAGATCTAGCAGGTGCTTCCCAGAGAGGGGAAGGGTCTTGGCCAAGGGCACATAGCATGCGCTCACAGAACCAACTGGACTCCCAGGCCAGTGTTCTTCCCCTGTAGTCATTGCAGCTCTGGTCCAGTACGTTTGTGGGAACATTTGTTGCTCAGCCCATGGTACTCCTCCTCCCCCTGTTACTCCAGTTTCAAGGATCCCTTTGCCCCCTAAGTAGGAAGGCACTTTTCTCTGAGCCCCAGATTATATACCTTGGAGGAATGAAAAGAAAGGTCAGGCAGGAAACTTTGGCTACTGTTTGGCCGAGTGGCTTGGGAATGAGAGATTTAGAGAGGCAGGGCTCTTGGGGCCCTAAAGTACATTGTAACCCTCGAGAGGTTAATCATTGTCCCCCATCACCTGTGGGCACTGGAGTGTGATGTATTCTCCCTCCCCTCACCTGCTGAAGCCAGAGGTCAGGGCAGGCGGTGGGTTATTCCATGAGGTCGAGGCTAGAGCCAGCCATGGCTCTTTGAAGGGGTGGCGTGGTCTGGGTGTATCTCTTAGGATCCAGACATAAGCTCTGCAAAAAGAATCCTGCATGGGATTATGTTAAATGCAGTTTGGGATTATGACTGTGCAGAGGTGGAATGAATGAGCTTCTCTGACGAGGCTGCCAGCAGAACAGTGAGTCTCTGAGGCTGTGTTTGCTGGAGGAGCCTCCCCTCCATGTATCTTATCCTTGGAGCTCATGAGGGTGAGTGGAAAGAGGGGAGGAAAGGGCTTCCTTGCTCCTGGGGTTGTTTGATCTATACTTGTGATCCCAGAGGGGCTGCCCTAGGTCCCAACACAGGGTTGGGACCTAAAACTCCAGGCTTTCCTGGTCTTTTCTAGCCCTTGACATATCTCTCCAGAATAGATCTTTTTCATCCCTATATCTTTCCCATCCCATTCCTGCAAACCACAGTTGTCCTGTTCCCAGCCTAATTGTATTTATCTTAGTTGTGTATGTATGCACAAACACACCCCAGGTAGATTTCCCCAAGCCCCGGGTCCCACTGTTACAGAGGAGAGTGCAGAATCCGAGGCAGGCCTAATGCCCAGAGGGATCCCCCAAAGCACAGGTGTTTAGCCCAGTCCTGCTGTGCCCAGGACCTTGACTTACAGTTGGAGTTTGAAAGGCCATAAGGCTGGCTGCATCAAGGAGCCCCTCAGTTGTCTTGCCATATTTGTCTTTAGCTAGTCTACCCATCTTTTTTTCCTTTGTGCACCAGAATTTAAACTCTGTGAGGTCAGGGACCAATACACAGTGGGCAGTCACTCTCTGGCCAGGCACTGGGCTAAGTCTCCAGTGATCAAGCAGTGAACAGGGTAGACCCTCTGCCCTCAGAGAGCTTAGCGGTGAGTGGACAGAGAGCTGAGGGCTTGTGCCCTGGTGGAGCTTATTTTCCTGGAGCGGGGGTGATAGGCGGAGGAAAATGGAGGCAACACATGAGGTGGAACATTTACTCATCTGACACTATCCTTTTCTACTTTGGTTTTTAGTCTCTTCCCCTTACGCCTGAACATACAAAATGATTGCACTGCAGAGGAATATAGCTGAAGTATTCACTCTTAAGATGATGGTGCAGGGCACAGTGTCTCACGCTTGTAATCTCAGCAACTTGGGAAGTTGAGGCAGGAGAAGTGCCTGAGGTCAGGGGTTTGAGACAAGCCTGGGCATCATAGGGAGAGCTTGTCTTGGAAAACAGGAAAAAAATTAGCCAGGTATGCTGGCGCGTACATATAGTCCCAGCTGCTTGGGAGGCTGAGGTAGGAGGATTGCTTGAGCCCAGAAGTTCAAGGCTGCAGTGAGCTGATTGTGCCACTGCACTCCAGCCTGGGTGATAGAGCAAGACTCCATCTCTTAAAAACACACACATACATAAAAACCACTATGGGCCGGGCGTGGTGGCTCACGCCTGTAATCCTAGCACTCTGGGAGGCCAAGGCGGGCGGATCGCTCAAGGTCAGGAGTTCGAAACCAGCCTGAGCAAGAGCGAGACCCTGTCTCTACTAAAAATAGAAAGAAATTAATTGGCCAACTATATATAGAAAAAATAAGCCGGGCATGGTGGCGCATGACTATAGTCTCAGCTACTCGGGAGGCTGAAGCAGAAGGATTGCTTGAGCCCAGGAGTTTGAGGTTGCTGTGAGCTAGGCTGACACCATGGCACTCACTCTAGCCTGGGCAACAAAGCGAGACTCTGTCTCAAAAAAAGAAAAAAAAAAAAACCACTATGGTCATGGATTGTGTAGGTGTGGAGACAGGAGGGTACCTTGGGCCCAGCTCTTGGATTCTAGAGAAATGATTCTGGAAAGAATGCTCAGGACGAGGAGAGGCTTTCCTGCCCCCTGCAGGCCCTGGTACTGGAGTTCAGGGACATTTCCTGCACTTTGTGCACCTGTTGAGCTCCTCTGGTCCTTCCCTATCGAGCCCAGCGTCAGAGGAGCCTCATTCCTTCCTCTCCTCCAGGGATATTTGCATTCAAGTGCTCCCGGGCTGAGGAAATCTTCAACCTCCTCCAGGACCTGATGCAGTGCAACAGCATCAATGTGATGGAGGAGCCAGTCATCATCACCCGCAATAGCCATCCTGCTGAGCTTGACCTCCCTCGGGCCCCCCAGCCGCCCAACGGTGAGGAGACCCCACTGGGATACTCGCCGGTATCCCAGTGTGCGCATGTGCACATGCAAACACACACACGCATGCACGCGCACACACAGGCCCTGGAAAGCATGAGTCGTGGAGGGCGAGTCAAGCAGGCAGGTGGGGTGCTGGCTCACCCAGCCTTCCAGGACAGTTGTCCACGGTCAGAACCGCTATTGAGGATGCATACGTCCTGGGCTGGGCCAGTCAGGTGACTCAAGCTGAGGTGCTTGAATCGTGGGCCTTGTATCGATGGATAGTTGGGAATCAGACAGGAAGATGTTGGGTTTCCATAGAAACAGTACTCTAGAGTTCTTTTGCTTCCTTCCTGTGTCTACTGGGTCATGTCTGGACACCTTTCCTGGCTGCTGGTGCAGGCAACCCTGGCCACGGCCACATTCTGGAGAGGTTCCTGCAGCTCCTGCCTGTTCAGGCACAGAGTCCAGCCCGGGCATCCGCTCGGTGTCCTGCACTCCCTAGGTTGGCCTGTGGGGGACAGAAGAAATAGAAACCCAGTCCCTGTTTGAGGAGCTTCCCCAGAGCTCGCTGGCTGAGCTGGAATGAGGCAAAGGGATGGTCCGGGGATGACAAGGTATATTCGGTGTTGCAGGTAAGGCTGCAGTGGAGAAAGTGGGGAGGGGGCTTCAAACTGAGCTTTGAGGGGAAGGCAGGGTTTGAGAAGCAGAGAGAAAGGGAAAGCGTAGTAGATGCTGCCAGCTCAGTGGTGCTACCCCTGTGGGGCCGTGACGGTGTCTCCCCTCTCTTGGACAGTCCCACGACACCACACACGCAGCTGCCAGTGCTTGTCAGGTGGCTTAAGTGCCCTTACCTGGCCTTGTCTCCCCTGTACCCAGCTCTAGGCTACACTGTCTCCAGCTTCTCCAATGGCTGCCCTGCAGAGGGCCCGCGATTCTCAGCTCCCCGCCGGCTCTCCACAAGCAGCCTGCGACACCCCTCGCTTGGGGAAGAGTCCACCCATGCCCTCATTGTCCCTGACGAGCAGGTGAGCAGCAGCTGGCCAGCCCCTGCCACCTTTGTCTGGGTGGGGACAGGGGATAGGAAATATGGCCGCCTCCTCCCAGTAAGGATAACAGGAAGGGGAAGTAAATTGGTAGGGTCCCTTCCTGTCCCTAGTATGGGAGGCAGCTTCCCTGGAAGGTTTGGGGGACAGGGGAGAAGAAACTCCAACCCGTTGCCCTGCGCTGCTCTCCTCTCATCCTGTCCTTTCTGCTCTCTCCCTCCTCCCTGTCCTGGGCCCCTCCTGCTTCACCTGGACTCTTTGCCCACAGTCCCACACCTATGTCAACACGCCGGCCAGCGAGGATGACCACCGCAGGAGCCGGCACTGCCTGCAGCCGCTGCCTGAGGGCCAGGCACCCTTCCCCCCGCAGGCCCGGGGCCCCGACCAACGGGACCCACAGGTGTTCTTGCAGCCGGGCCAGGTGAAGTTCGTGCTGGGCCCAACCCCTGCTCGGCGGCACATGATGAAATGCCAGGGCCTCTGTCCCAGCCTGCATGACCCCCCCCACCACAACAACAACAACGAGGGCCCTTCCGAGTGCCCAGCCCAGCCCAAGTGCACCTATGAGAACGTCAGCGGGGGGCTGCGGCGAGGGGCCGGCTGGAGACTGAGCCCAGAGGAGCCGGGCTGGAACGGCCTTGCCCAGCGCCGGGCTGCCCTGCTGCACTACGAGAATCTGCCCCCGCTGCCCCCCGTGTGGGAGAGCAATGCCCAGCCGCTGGGAGGGGAGGCCGGGGATGACGGGGACTCGAGGGATGGGCTCACACCCTCCTCCAATGGCTTCCCGGATGGTGAGGAGGACGAGACCCCGCTGCAGAAGCCCACCAGCACCCGGGCCTCCCTCCGCAGCCACAGCAGCTTCCCTGTGCCGCTGACCCGCCGCCGCGGCTCCCCTAGGGTCTTCAACTTTGATTTCCGCCGGCCGGGCCCCGAGCCCCCAAGGCAGCTCAACTACATCCAGGTGGAGCTAAAGGGCTGGGGCGGAGACCGACCCAAGGGGCCCCAGAACCCCTCGGGCCCCCGAGCCCCTGTGCCCACCACCCACCCTGCCCGCAGCTCAGACTCCTATGCCGTGATTGACCTCAAAAAGACCGTGGCCATGTCTAACCTGCAGAGGGCTCTGCCCCGAGACGATGGCACTGCCAGGAAAACCCGGCACAACAGCACTGACCTGCCTCTGTAGGGACGTCCTGGTCCTCACCACCCTCTGCCCCACCGTGATCCAGCCTCTGCCTCACACTCCTGTCCTCTGAACCCCCTCCCCAGGGCTCAGGGTTGCTTTGCAGAAGGCATGAGGTGGGACCAGATGCTTCCCTGCACTGGCTGGAGTCCCCAAAGGTATCAGCCACTGAATGTCCTGGTCTCCCAGCTGAGGAGAGAAGAGGGTGACCAGGCGAGGAGGGAGCCGGGACGTAACTGTGAAGGGTTCCCGTGGTTGCATTTAGCACCCTCCATTCTGTCCTTTGTCTCGTCTGTCGGCTATGTGTGTTTTTTTTGGTTGGAATTTTGAAACATTTTGTACCTGTTGATTTTATTTATCAGTTTATTTTTCTATTTATTGTTTTAAATGTATTTAACATATTTATTATTAATATAATTATTTTTAAATTCTGTCTCAGTGGATGATATCATCTTATGGAATCTTTTCTGATGTGGTCTAGGGTGGGCAAAAGCAGGCCTAATAGAGGTAGAGGCTTCATTCTGGGAAATTTGGGGCCATTGTGGTTTTTTCAACAAGTCGATGATTATTTCTTTATGTCCTCCAAGAAGTCCTGGCCCAGAACTTGAAGTTGCCAGGATGGATGCTCTGTTGAAGTAAAGTGCCGAGGTGGCTGAAGTCTTGGAACACTGCCCTAATGGGATGGAACCTTGACCCTCTAGGGCTGGCAACAGGTGGGGAAATTTTGCATGGGGGGCCACTATTCAATAGTCACCTCCTCTGATTCTGCACCCACTGGGCAGGCCCCAGGGGCCAGTGCTCTCCTTTGACACCTTGGCCCAAAGGCAGACTCTGGATCCTCCTTAGCTGCCCCCAGCACCGCTGAGTCAAGTCCAGACCTTTAAACAGGACTTTACTAAAAGCCCCGGATTATAGCAAAAGGCAAAAACACAGTGTAATGTGTAACTAGACAATCTGCCTCACAAAGTGTATCTTTCCCAGAGAACTACACTCTAGGAATGGACTGTCTGGGACTCCTCTACCCCACGCAGGGGTGGGGCGTAACGGAGCCAGCACATTGGAGCCCCTGCCTGGAAGCCCAGGGTCTGACGGGCTGCGCCCAGGCGCCCACTTCCGTGCAGTTTTGTTGCGGAGCTCCCTCTCTCTGTCCTGAGGCTGCCTCCCTCCCTCCCAGACTCCATTTCTGACTCAAACCCTGTGCAGCTAATCTAAAGGAAATCCAGCCTCTGTGATAAGCCACTCAGGGCCCAGATGAGGACTGACAGCGGGGTTTGTCTGAGACTTGGGGAAGAGTCTTGTCTCTGATCACTGTGCTCTAGCTCCCTGCCCCGTGGATCAAGCAGACCTATCCTCCTCCCCAAGGAGACAGGCCAGGGCTCAACCCACCCAGCTCTCTCCCCTCCCACTGTCCAGGGCACCCCTGGCCAAGGCCCATTTCCTGGAGCCCCCTTCTCCCCAGTGGGGATTGGACTGACTAGCTTCCAGACCACCCCGACCTCCGGTGTCACTTTCTGTCAGTGAAACGGGCAATCAGGAGCAGCCGCAACAGGATGTGAGGCAGGCCCTTGAAGTAGGGCCCAGCAGGGTGCAAGGGGGCAGCTGCCATAGCCCTGGAGCTGGCACCGAATCCTTCTCCCCCTACGTCCTTGGATCTACAGACCAGAAGGGTCAGCCACTGCAGGCTGGATTCATTGTAGTTTTTTCCACACTGCAGTAGGGAAATGCCATCTTCTCTGCAGCCTACCCAGCCAGCTCAATTCTGCTCTACGGTCAGGGGTGGTGTTCTCTCCAAACAGGGGGGCCATGCCAGGACCAGCCTAGGGGCCCTGGCCAAGCTGCAGCCTCATGCGTCCATGCAGGCTCCTCCTTACTAACGGGCAGGCACTCTTGTGGGGTGGCCAGAGGCTGGCTTGAGTCCAGAGACCCAGGGTCTGGAACTGGCTTGGCCATTCTGTGCTATCTTAAGCATTAGGTTACCCCAAATAGGCTGTTTTTGCACCTGGAAGCTGGTGTGAGACGTGGCCAATGAGACAAGGAACAGGACACCACTCTGGAAATAGAGGAGACTCTTGCAAGCTGTGTTAACAACTCACTGTGCCTGAGGAAGAAACCAACCAGAAGTCACAACTCTTCAGTCTCCCAAACCTCCCGCTTATGGCTGCTCCTTTGCTGAACAGTTCAAGAAGGAGCAGTTACTCTCTGGGCCACCAGATCCTGGTCTGACCCCCGGGAGCCCCTAGAGCAAGTTGTAATTGCTTCAGTGAGCATTTTCGCGGGGCTGGGGGGGGCTATGAGATGTGTCCCAGGAGCTGGCTTCCAGCCCAGAGTGGCCCCCCACCTTCCCTGTCCCCTCCCCTGGTCACTGCCTGTGACCCACGAGGTCTACCACAGGAATTTTCCTTCTGCAGGGAGGGCGGGGTGCAGGTGGACAGCTTTCCTGCCAGAAGGGGCAGTGGGAGCGATGCCCAGGCGGGCGACTGCTGCCCCCCTGTCTGAGCCTGTCCCGCCGCCAGGGTGTGGTGCACAGATGGGATCAGTTTCCATCGTCACCATCACTAACAGCAGCAAATGTTTGCTGAGTGCTTGGTTTTCTTCTTTAGAAACTGGCCCTCCCCACCCCTGGGCTGCCCTCAGGAAAGGACAGCATCCAGCATCCTGTCTGGGAGTGACATTTCAGGTCAGACCAGGAGGGGCCCTCCCCAGGTCCACCCTGGGTAATAATAGCACTTTGCAAGGGAACAAGCCCAGCTGGCTTTGCACCAGGCCTCTGTCAGGCCACTGGGTGGGAGAGTGGGATGTTATCACCACTGAACAGGGTAGGAAAGAGGCCAAGAGGTGAAGTGACTTGCCTCAGGCCATGAAGTTAATTAGTGCCTTGAGCTGGGGCTGCATGCCAGGCATGTGTCCCCCATTCCTTGCTCCCTGCCTGGCCTGGAGGAGCCCAGCTGTAGCCAGTGTTCGGGGAGAACCTGCCCTATGCCCCAGGGCCTGCCCTGTGCCCACGTACCAACCTCGTCCCCTCGACTCTTGAATGCCCAGACATGGCTCCCAGTTCTGTCGATGGGCAGTGCCTCGGCTTGCCTCTCCCAAATGCCTCTCAGCCGCACGGGAGGCTCTCCTGGGTCAGCTGAGGTGGGGACCTCTCTCTGACCAATACCTTAAAGGGGATCCTACTCAGAGGTGGAGGGGAGTTTCAGAAAGGCAATGGGGTGCCTGAGGCATCCGGGGATTCCCTCAGCAGGATTCCTGGGGATGTTTATCCTGTCTTTGCTCACACACTTTCAGCGACAGGGAGCTCACTATCTCATAAGCCGTCCCTCCACTCTGGTCTTCTGAAGTCCCCACACTTCTTCCCACTGGGTCCTGATTTTGCGTCTGGACCCACACACGGCTTAGTCTCGCTGCCAAGGGTGCTGAGCTCTGAAGCTTGGCGTCACCACCCATTAACAACTTGACCCATTGTGCTTCTGCTTCCTCATCTGGCACGCAGGGATAACAACGGTCCCTCCGTCGTGGATTGTCGTGGGAACCAAACAAGAGAATGTCCACCCACCCATGAACCATGGCACCTGGCCCTTCGTAGGCGCTCAGTGAGTGGCAGATGTCACTTCCAGTCGAGCATGGCTCTTCCCAGCATGACTAGGTGTCCACTCTGTGCTCTAATTTGACCCAGAACTGAGTGCAATTCCCAGACCTGACCTTCACCTTTCTTCAGCCCCAAATCTTCCTTTTCCTAGACATTGTACTTCTGCTAATGCAGCCAGAGTTAGCACTCACTTCCCTGGCCCTGCTGGCTCCTGGGACTTAAAGCTGATCTGAAACCACCTGGTCCTCTCCACATGAACAACTGCAGCATTCCCTGCCTCGACCCGCTTTTATGTTGGAATCCTTGGCTTGTCAGATCAAAATCTGAACTGTCCGTTCATCCAAGTGACCTTTCTGCCTAGAAGTCTGGGTCTGTCCTGGAATTTAGAGCCCCTGCCCTCTTGCCATGGACCTGGATGTCGTGGGAGAATGGAGATGGGGGCTGGGGGTCAGAGAGGAGGGTCTGGGAGGAGGGTCTCCATGGAGGGTGGATCGTAACAGTTCGGCCGTAGTATCTGGGGCCCTTGGCCTAGTGCTTCCAGAAGCTTCTATCCGTATGCTGCAGTTGGTAGGAAGCCTCCCTGATAACTGTGGTGTTTTCTCAGCCATTCATTTTGCTCACCAGGTGGGCCCTCCCGGGCCTCTCTGGGCCCCAGCTTCTCTGGAGATGGTCATTCCTGGCACAGCTGCCTGTGGAGGAGCTGGGTGGTCAGGTGAGTGACAGTATCACCTGTGCTCCAGGTGTCATTACGCTCATTCTTATATATATATATATATATTTTTTTTTTTTTTTTGAGACAGAGTCTCACTCTGTTGCCCTGGCTAGAGTGCCATGGTGTCAGCCTAGCTCACAGCAACCTCAAACTCCTGGGCTCAAGCGATCCTTCTGCCTCAGTCTCCCAAGTAGCTGGGACTACAGGCATGCGCCACCATGCCTGGCTAATTTTTTCTATATATATTAGTTGGCCGATTAATTTCTTTCTATTTATAGTAGAGACGGCATCTCGCTCTTGCTCAGGCTGGTTTTGAACTCCTGACCTCGAGCAATCCGACCGCCTCGGCCTCCCAGAGTGCTAGAATTTTTTTTTTTTTTTTTTTTGAGACAGAATCTCTGTTGCCTAGCCTAGAGTGCCCTGGCATCAGCCTAGCTCACAGCAACCTCAAACTCCTAGACTCAAGTGATCCTAGTGCCTCAGCCTCCCAAGTAGCTGGGACTACAGATGTGCACCACCACGAGAGGCTAAATTTTCTACTTTTTATAGAGACAGGGTCTTGTTCTTGCTCAGGCTGATCTCGAACTCCTGAGCTCAAACGATCCGTCCGCCTCGGCCTTCCAGAGTGCTAGGATTACAGGTGTGAGCCACCACCCTGCCCTGCCTCATTCTTAAGGGGTCATTAGTATAATGGCTGAGTTAATGAGAGAGAGGCACGTGCCTGCTGATTGAAGGGGGGTTTCCCCAGCTGTCTCCTTCTCCCACTGCTCTACCCGCTTACCCGGGCAGCTGTGATCCCTTGGGGGACCCTGCGTGTTGCTTCCCTCCACCTGCGCCCCTTCAGCCTGGCCTGGTTCCCTCTGGGTAGCAGGCCCATAGAGAGTCTTCGTGGGCAGAGATGGGGAGCTGGGAACTCTGAGTGCCTGGGGAAAAGGAATGTAAATGCAATTACCTCGCTCATCTTGACCCTTGAACTGTGAGCCTCTTGGACAGCCGTGCCTAGGAGTGCTGGGAAGGAGACGGGGCGGCAATGGCGGAAGAGGTACAGGGCATCGGCTGGGGGCGCGGGAGGAGTTACCAGGTGTTCTTTGGCGCTCTGTGTCTGTCTGGTCCAGTTGGCTGGGGCTGGCCACTG